CCTCCAGATTATTCTTTTCTCAGAATTTTTGGTTGCAGGTGTTATCCTTGGTTACGGCTCTACACTAACCACAAGCTTCAACGTAAGTTCATTCCATGTGTTTTCATTGGTTATCATCCGTCAGTGAAAGGGTATCGCTGTCTTGATCCCTCTACAGGTCATATCTATCTTTCTAGGCATGTTGTGTTTGATGAAACTTGTTTTCCTTTTTCATCTTGTTCTTCTTTTTCCCCAATTTCATCAGTTACTCAATTACATTCCTTTTTCTGGCCCTCCACTTCTTCTTCTGTTTCTTCTTCTTTCAGCTCTCCTTCTTCTGTTTCTCCTTCCTCTTCAGCACCTCCAATTGTTCCTCTTCCTATTCCTAGTTCTGCTAATCACCCTATTTCTTCTACTGATCTTCCTCTGTCTATTCCTAGTTCTACAGTTCCTTCCTCCTCTCATCCTATTCCTATATCTTCAATTTCTATTGATTTACCTCTCTCTGCTCCAGTTTCTACTCATATTTCTCCTCATCTCAGCTCCAACACTCATTCTATGGTCACTCGGTCCAAATCTACTTCTCTTTCTCCTACTGCTCATCTGGCTCATGTTCCCACTGAACCTTCTTCCTATAAGGAAGCCTCTCAATCTTCAGATTGGACTCAGGCTATGCGTGAAGAATTTCATGCTCTTCAACTTCAACACACTTGGTCCTTAGTTGACCTTCCACCCAACAAGAATGTCATCGGGTGTAAGTGGGTTTATCGCTTGAAAAAGAACTCTGATGGTTCCATTGCTCGTTATAAAGCCCGGTTAGTGGCTAAAGGTTATCTCCAGGAGGAGGGTATTGACAATCATGTTAATTAGTGTTGCATGTCCAAGCATGATGGAGAATTTGATTATCAAGAAACCTTTAGTCCTGTTGCAAAGCAGCCTACTATTCGCATTTTATTGTGTCTTGCCCTTCATTTTGGTTGGTCTATCAAACAATTAGATGTATCTAATGCTTTCTTGCATGGTGTCCCTCATGAGGAGGTTTATATGACTCAACCCTCTGGTTTTATTGATTCTTCTCATCCTCATAAGGTGTGTAAACTGCATAAAGCCTTGTATGGGCTTAAGCAAGCTCCTCGGGCATGGTTTTCTACATTCTCCACTTTTCTCTTGTCCCAAGGTTTCATTGCTAGTCGTTGTGACTCTTCTTTGTTTATTAAGAAGACTACATCTGCCATCATCATTCTGCTTATATATGTTGATGATATTTTGCTAATTGGGAGTGATGGTTCTTATATTACCTCGTTGCTTGCTCAAATGCATCAAGTTTTTTCCATGAAAGAGTTGGGTTTTCTGAATTATTTCTTGGGCATCTCTGTTCACACTTCTGCTGCTGGTTTCTTTTTGCATCAATCTAAGTACGCCACTGAGATCTTAGCCAAAGCTGGGATGTCCCACTGCAAGCCCTATGCCTCTCCCATGGCTACTAAATCCTCCAGCTTTCCTAACTCTGATCTTCCTTTTGCTCAGCCTGCTTTGTATCGCAGTATTGTTGGGGCTCTTCAATATTTGACCATTACTCGCCCTGACATTGTTTTTGCTGTCAACTCTGCCTGTCAACATATGCACGCTCCTTTGGTTAGTCATTTTAATGCTGTCAAACGCTTATTGCGTTATTTGAAAGGAACTCTTGCTAAGGGTCTTCAGTTTCAGCCAGGTCCTCTTGTTCTCACTGCCTATTCGGATTCCGACTGGGCTGGGAACGCCATTGACCGCAGATCCACTACTGGCTTTTGTATTTTTCTGGGTCCCAACTTGATTTCTTGGTCTGCGAAGAAACAACCTACTGTTTCTCGCTCCTCCACTGAAGCCGAATATCGCGCTCTTGCTCAGACTTCAGCCGAGCTTAGCTGGCTTGGCATGCTTCTTCGGGATCTGCACATTTCTTTTGCCCCCCCTACTCTATGGTGTGACAATCTCTCTGCCATTGCCCTGTCTAGTAATCCGGTTTTTCATGCTCGGTCTAAACATATTGAAGTGGACTATCATTTTGTCCGTGAGCGTGTTGCTTCCAACCAGTTGCTTATCAAACATCTTGCTACTGCTGACCAGATTGCTGATATCCTCACCAAACCTCTTTCAGTTTCTCGGTTTAACTTTCTTCAACACAAGCTTCTGGCTCATTCTTCTCCTGTCAGCTTGACGGGGCATGTTACGCAACCTCAGTTGCAGAATTCACAACATGATCAATTGCAGAATTCACAGCATGATGATCAATCTGTTTGAAGTCTGTTAGATTAGTCAACACTAGTTAGTATTAACTATAGCAGTTGTAAAGTTGTTAGAACTATAGTTAATTGTAACTATAGTTAGGTAGAGTATATTAGTTTATAAATACTGTACATGTGCAGATTGATTTAAAACTATTAATAAAAAATCTGTTTTGACTCTTCTTCATTTTCTTGAATCTGCTTTATGAAATCTGCTTTAGTGTTTGCATATTTTATGGCTAACAATGACATTAATATTAATTATGATTAGAAGTTAGCGGATGGGGAATTTACAGCACACTGCATGTGTTTGGATTACCATTAGTAGAAAGAATGAAAGTTTTACATTTCTTGATTACCAACAATGAAAAATTGCAGAATTCACAGCATGATCAGTTGCAGAATTCACAACATGATGATCAATCTGTTTGAAGTCTGTTAGATTAGTCAACACTAGTTAGTATTAACTATAGCAGTTGTAAAGTTGTTAGAACTATAGTTAATTGTAACTATAGTTAGGTAGAGTATATTAGTTTATAAATACTATACATGTGCAGATTGATTTAGACAATTTTAATAAAAAATCTGTTTTGACTCTTCTTTATTTTCTTGAATCTGCTTTATGAAATCTGCTTTAAAATAAGTCTTATGGTTAGAAACTTTAACCCTAGGGAACACACTTAAAAAATGTGTATTTCATCTTGATATAACTCTTGCAAACTTCTATTTTCTGGTAGGGATTTGGGGGAAAGGGGGCTTAAATGGATTGAGGAGAGATTATGAGCTTAAAGAATGAAGCAAGAGACTTAAAAGTTGACAATTGTCTTTTTCACAATTGTGCAGTGTGAATTGACTGAGGGTCTAGATTTGGTAATAACATAGAAAATTCACTTATCTAACAAGATGCCAAATAAAAATTGTATCACTAGATCTGGAGTGGCCACCTAATATTTTTATAAAAAAAAAATTTGGAAACCCTAACTCCTAACAATATATAGGCCACTGATCCAGCGTAACTAGAAAACTTTGCCATTGGTTTGGAATCTCTAAACCAAGAGGTATATCCTCATTTTATTTTTCACATTCTTTTCTTTTCTTGGCTTCCAAACATGTTCTATCTATTTGATAATTATTAGATCTCATGTTTCTTGTTAGATATTCTATTGGTTTGAGTTGTATGCTATGTATTTGATCATGTTAGCAAAGCATAATACCTGAAAATGCCCGAGCCCTTATGCCCAGGTAAAGATTAGGTTTTGCTAAGGATTTGGTTTAAATCATGTTGACATGCCTTTTTTCTTTTTTTCTTTTTTTCCCTATAAAAATGTACTTATGAAGTTTAATTCTGTATATTGAGTTAATAATTCTTATTCTTTACCTATTAAAAGAAAACAAAAGATTAGTTGATATATTGTTATGCTGTGATAGATAATGATTAGGGTTGTAAATAAATACAGCCGTTTTATGAACATGCTTAAGCTCGGCTTAATAAGAGCTCATTTCACTACAAGAATTAACACTTTTAGCAACAAAAAAATTGGTCGCTAAAAGTCTATTTTTGGTCGGCAAAAGTTATCCGCGACCAAAATTTTTGGTCGCTAGTTTGGTCGCCAATTGAGGGTCGGCAAAAGTAATTCGCGACCAAAATTTTCGTTGGTTGGAAAAAGTTGGATTTGCCGACTAAATTTTTGGTCGCTAAATATTTAATTACCGGGACTAATTTATTTTGTCGCTAAAATACTTTGGTCGCGGAAAGTGATATTTTCCCGACCAAATTTCTTAGTCGCCAATTGTCACATTTCGCGACCAAAAAGTTTGGTCGCCAATTATCACATTTCGCGACCAAATTTTTTGGTCGCCAATTATCACATTTCGCGACCAAAAAATTTGGTCACCATTTGTTACTTTTCGCGACCAAAACTTTTGGTCGGCAAAAGTGAGTTTCCACGACCAAGAGCTGTTTTGGTCGGCAATAGATGTATTTTTTGCGACCAAAACTCTTGGTCGGCAATTATCATTTTTTGTGAAAAAAATTTATTTTGGATGCCGTGACTAATAAATTGGTCGCCAAAGCAAGAAAATAATACACCTGTATATTTAGCGAATTCATAATCAAAACAGGACGAATTCATAATCAAAACAGGTTTTATTATAAAATTTTCTATATCCAAGTTTCAACACATAACTCAGTAGCAGCAACATTGATTCCAAAAACAAGGAACGATTCACAAAACCCTATTCTAAACCCCAAAAACCAAAAAACAATTCATTCCAACAAAAATTTAACATAATCAGCATCAATTTTAAAAAAAAGAACATCTGGTGTTAACAAGGTTGAGTATTGTTGTTCTTTTTTATGTAGGGCATCCAACTCCTTTATGGCCTCTGCAAATCTCTCTTTGTCGTACGCGTCAACAAGGTAAACTTCACCAGCATCTGCCCTATGGATGAGGCGGTATAGATTACCCCTGTTCCACAAAATCAGGATTTGTGCAAAGTTAGCCTTCCATTACTTGCTTTAGATGGAAGTAGTTCAAATAATAAAATAATTCTGGAAGCAAATTGCTAAATTCACAACAATTTTGACTGCGTCCAGCAACCCCTCTTTCGTTGCAGTATCAACCCATGTGAGAAGGATGGCAGTGGCACAACCATCAAGACTGCGGGACAATGCATTAGGAACTAAAAATGTCTTTACCTTCGTAGATATTCTGTCACGATTGACTAATGTGGCCGTTGTGTAACCGCACCAATGAAATCGTATGATTTACTTAATTTGAGATTCAACAACTCAAATCGGATTGTTTTGGATAAAACTCGTATCGAATTGTATAAATCGAATTGTGAATCGCAAGATTCTAACAACCATTGATTTTAGAGATAGGAGAGAGAGATGTAATGGGAAATCAAGATTTACCTGATAGATGGGTGCTCTCACTGAACCAGATGTTGCCAGCAGTCTCTTCCCATTAGCATCTAAAGCCATTTCATGTCTATGTTCAGAGTTAGCATGATTACAGAACCTACAAAATGGAATAGACTCAGGTTACCAAAGCTCCTTATTCATACTCATATATGTATTGAAAGAGTCACATGCAGCAAGATATAAGTGGCAGGGTTGTTTCTGTACTTTCACAATATGACTGTCCCAAAAAACAAAAGGTACAGATTTGACAATGGGCTTCACTTAAGAATTAAAACCACACCTTCCATCAATCTTGACTCTATTAAAATTTCAACTAATAGTAAGCCTAAATAAACGATAAGGTTACCATAACATTGAAGGGTTAAGCAATTCAAGTACCTGCTGCAATTTCTTGACCAAAGAATTTTACCTTGGTTTTGCAAGCTCCATTCAAATATCTGAAGTAGAAGCTAATTTGGTGAGATTACACATATATGGCTAAGCATAAGAATATAATCCAACAAGCTAGCTAAAACAAATAACAAAATTTAAAAGAATAAGGTAGAAAGTGCTTTTTATGCATGACCCTAACTCAAGCTAAAAATCAGAGGAAACAGAGGCACTTGCCTTTCCATCTATCCCCAAGCTAAAAATACTTGTCTCATCAGGCCCAAAAAGAACAGAGCTAATAGCAGAATCATGAGCCGGCCACCCAGTAATTTGTAGTCCGGCAGACATATCTTTGCCAAATTAAGATGTATACATTTGTTGCGCATGTCTTGTGTGCAGCATGAGATTGGGGACAAGTTTCCTTTCAAAGTAGAAATGTTTAATCCCCCCTCCCTCCCCCCAGCTCTGAAGCCCCAAAAAGAAAGAAAATGATTCCTTTTTCATGTTTTTTTACTTGGTGTACCAAAGAAGTAAAAGCAACACGTTTGAGCCTCAAAAGCAAAATGTGTAACACTTAATTTTAGAAATATAATAACCATTCATACATAAACATAAAATACTATAAGGATACCGAACATATGAATCATTCCATCAGTTGCAGCAGCTGCTAAAATCTTCCCGTTATGGTTGAAGCATAAGGAAGTAATTGCCGGAGGATCTTCACCAAGGGGAAGGACTGTCTTCAATAAAGTTGAGAAATATTAAGACATAATAGCTGTCAGTCAGACAAATTGACTTCCTACAGTAATGTACAATTTGTGGGACAAACAAGGGCATACCATAGCCTTCCATGTTTTCATGCTCCAGACAGTTAAGCTTACAAATCCCAACTTATCCATATAACTCTTGCCATGCCTATAAAAAAAACTAGGTCCTAAGAATGATTCATATTCCAAAAACATAAATAATAAACAAGTATGATGATAACATCTAAAAACATTGATTAAAAATGGGGATTGGTGAAGTTTTTTTTTTAATTTTTTATCACAAGTAGTCAATTAGTAAGTTACATAAATCCTGCAACTCAATAGAAAGAATTTAACCAATTACAATAGTACTTAAAAGGACAAAAATATACAGTACAGTGGAGAAATAGATTTAGTTACAAGAAAGATACATTCACCCATACAGTGTCAACCAAAGAATCTCCTGCATTAATTCAAATAAATAGTACCAAACATGTGCATTGCACTTTTTAATCATGCAAAATCCATCAGTAATTAGGTATACGTATATCAGAATGACATAAGGCAACAATTATGATCAGTCAATATATATTGTGTCTTGTATAAGCATTCAACTTAGCAAAGTCCACCATACCGTGCTTTTGCTCAGCTGACACTCTCTGAGCCTACAATTTTGACTGCGTCCAGCAACCTCTCTCTCGCTGCAGTATCAACCCATGTGAGAAGGATGGCAGTGGCACAGCCATCAAGACTGCGGGACAATGCATTAGGAACTAAAAAATGTCTTTACCTTCGTAGATATTCTGTCACGATTGACAAATGTGGCCGTTGTGTAACCGCACCAATGAAATCGTATGATTTACTTAATTTGAGATTCAACAACTCAAATCGGATTGTTTTGGATAAAACTCGTATCGAATTGTATAAATCGAATTGTGAATCGCAAGATTCTAACAACCATTGATTTTAGAGATAGGAGAGAGAGATGTAATGGGAAATCAAGATTTACCTGATAGATGGGTGCTCTCACTGAACCAGATGTTGCCAGCAGTCTCTTCCCATTAGCATCTAAAGCCATTTCATGTCTATGTTCAGAGTTATCACGATTACAGAACCTACATAATGGAATAGACTCAGGTTACCAAAGCTCCTTATTCATACTCATATATGTATTGAAAGAGTCACATGCAGCAAGATATAAGTGGCAGGGTTGTTTCTGTACTTTCACAATATGACTGTCCCAAAAAACAAAAGGTACAGATTTGACAATGGGCTTCACTTAAGAATTAAAACCACACCTTCCATCAATCTTGACTCTATTAAAATTTCAACTAATAGTAAGCCTAAATAAACGATAAGGTTACCATAACATTGAAGGGTTAAGCAATTCAAGTACCTGTTGCAATTTCTTGACCAAAGAATTTTACCTTGGTTTTGCAAGCTCCATTCAAATATCTGAAGTAGAAGCTAATTTGGTGAGATTACACATATATGGCTAAGCATAAGAACTTCCCTTTTCACTATCTCACTGTGAATCTCAGCAACACCATTTACAGCAAGGGCAGCCCACTGGTTACAAACATTTTAAGGGAATTATGCAATTACAACCATATTAAGCAGACACTGTAAGGGCAGCCCACTGCTTGAGTGGTTAACATTCAGCCAAACAACCTTGAGGTTGTGGATTCGAATTAGAGGGCAGCCACTATGTACATAATGGTCAGAGGTTTGGTCTGTATACAGTCCACCCCTCCCAGACCCCTATTAACAGACTGAACAAGTAAAAGCTAACTGAAGGGCACAAGAAAACTCAATGGAAAATGGCAGTTCAATTCGATGTTGTCTAAGAAGGATTTAGAACACAGGCTCTATGGTTTATACCTTCCAACACAGAGAAGGATCAAGCGTCTCTGCTGCAAAAGCTGCAAGCTTTGAGCCGTTATCCTGCAAAATAGGTAATCTATGTTAGAGTTGTAAATCTTGTATCAGACTGATTACAGTTAGTATTAGAGAAATATGCAACCATGTATCATACAACACACACAAAAAACAAACTAATACACTGTCTGCAAGCATGTTTAAATGCATATATTAGGAAACAAATAACTCACCGAAACTGCTTCAGTTGACAAGAGACCTTCTAAGTTCTTCTGCTGAGGCGCAATCATTCTGAACAAGTGATTGTGTTTGGATTATTAACGTGATGCATGGGGAAAAGTTCATTTAATTATAGATAATAAATATCAGTGAATTTCCAAATATTGGAGGGAGAAAATTATTCATTAATGTGAAGAACATTGCAGGTATTAGTAGCGGAAATTATATGAAAGAGAAGGAAATGAAATTTCACTTGTTTTTAATGTCTGCTTCCCTTCGACCAAGCCTAGGGGTATCAACAGTAAGCATAATAGCCTTGAACCCATTTCTTTCGGCTCTTTGCACTAACACAGCTGTTACATCCCTTCTTTTATATACCTATGAACAGAGGATTACCAAACTGTGAATCCTAAAGAACGATAAAGATTCCTATGAAGAAACTTAAGTTTATTAGAGCTGAAGAGAGTAGAATACATATGTTTGAAAAAAGCGAATGGCATTGCAACTGGAAGCAACCTCCTCCACGGTGCAGTCAGCTGAAAAGGACATTGCCTGTAATGAGGGACAGCTCAGCAATCAACAATGCAAAGTAAAAAGGAATTAGAGTATGAGAGTATCAATACCATGATGGTGTTACATGCAGCAGCTGCTCTGGCTGTTGCAACCTCTCCTGATAAAAAATATTTTTAAAAAAATTTAAAAATTCAAAGCTGAAATCATAAGTACACATAAATTTCACTCAAAATCCCTTCTAAATGAAATTAGACCTTCAGCACGAGCCAACTTATGCAATCCAGTTGGAGCGATCATGATTGGTGCCGAAGTTGGGTAGCCCAATATAGTGGTTGACATATCTATTCTGCTCACATCTACAAGAACTCTTGGCTGAAAACTGAGAAATTCCCAAAAAAAAATAAAAAATAAATAAAAATTGGCGTAAGGTGGTGTCCCTGTTCGCTAATAAGAATAAGAGGTGTAACAACACTTAACGTGATTCTACGGAACGCTTCCATGTTCTCTCTTAGCGTGTGTTGGTCCTCAGCTCCCCCATTGTAGAAGTCAAAGTACATCTTCGGAACAGCTCGCCTTGCCAGTTCCTGGAACTCATTCACATTGACCGGTTCTGATGCCATTTTTCTTGAAAACACTGCCCCATTAGCTGACTCTAACATTCCAGTAATAAGTAACCCAGTACATAGTACAATTATTTAAAAATCAATTAATTAAATACTAAACTTGAAATAACAGTCTTCTAGCAGGAACTCTTATTTGCTGCATGACCTCTGTGTCACTCCTTAAATCAATCTCACACTACTTTTAATTCTCCCAAAACCTTTGAGTTGATAGGAAACCTCTCTAAGAACCTGGGAAAAACAAAGTATGCTAAATATAATAGAAGGTTGGGATTAAACCAAGTTATAGAGGGATACACATTCAAAACAGTAATCATTATATTTTTGTGACACATTCTATATTTTAATTCGATAATTGAATGAGTGAAGAAATAATAGACACAGCCACAGGTTGGGCTACCCACCATCTCAATATAATCATTGACCCAACTATGGATCAAAAGATAAAAAATTACTTTCTGTTATTTCAATGTTTCCCTCTTCAATTAGGTGTTTCTCAATCCATTGATATATATCCCTCCTATGGTTTTGGCAACCTGTTGGCCTATAAAATAGCAGAAGTCACACATTGTATTACACTGTTTAGTAGGTAATTATCCAGAATCAGATAAAAGATATAATCTAACTGCACTCACTCAAAAAAAAGTGTTCTTATCCCAACAGATTAATTTTGTTTGGTTTGTTTTTCTTGTTTTCAGAATAAAATAATAATAAAAAGTTTGAAAACATCCATCGTTTCCTTCATTTGTGCAAAAACAGCTTTCGAAAATTTAAAAACTATTTTTTAGTGTTTCTTTAATAAAAAAAAGTTTTCCATATTTTTCGAAATATGAAAACAGAAAAATGAAAATGATACCAAACAGATTTAAAGTTTATTCCATAGAAAATGTACTAGTTGAATTGCAATATTTTCTCTCATGTATACAACAAATTTCCAAAGTACCACCAAGAATACATAAACTGGTACATCCCACTGATATTGCAAATGCATGAGTGTCTCTACTTGCAAAAAATAAATGAAAGGCAGCATGGAAAAATACCCAATGATGAACTTTATAATGAAGATGCTGAGAATACTAGTCAGGGGTGCTAACCGATCAATTTTCCATACTCTTTTTCCGTCAATCATTTCAGGGGAATATCATATCCTGTCAAAGGAATGAAATTCTATATTACCAGTGGTATTCACCATCATGTACAGAAACAATAGTTACCTGAATCAAATAAAAAACTTACAAAGAAATGGTTGATTATGCAACATGTGCTTATATATTTTGTTTCTAACATCTTTCCAACACCAAACATCATTTGCAATTAACATGCATTAAAATATGATCTGAAAATGAATTGAAAGATAAACTTAAATAATGGGGCAGAATAAGGAACTTTTCAAGCTAGATTCCAAAATGCTAAATTCAATCAAAAAGTGTGTGAAAATCAAATATGAAAAATGTAGATAGATCAGTCACAACTTAACAAAAGTAGGAAAATCTTGCTACACAAAATTCAGATTTATATAACATCGAAACAATAAGATCTACCACACAATACAATTTTCTTCGCTTTTTCCTTAAAGGTCATAGAATCCTCCAAATGTTCCCATTTATTTTCTAATAATAATGATAAAGTGTCACGCATAATTGCTCTCGCACTTTTGTCGCCCACACAAACTTTCTAAAACTACTCATGAAACTATGGGAGAGAGAGTAGTTGAACAGAGATTAGGGATATGCAAGCAATAGTTTTAAATGAGTAATATGCTTTGATGCCCAAAGATCCACTAATGGAAGCTAATTTTTCTACAGCTTAACGACTAATGAAAAATATAGGGAAAAGAACAAATATTTTCCATATAAGTGTTTATTCACTTACGAAAAGCATATAGAGGTTATATAGACAGAAAATCTGTTTTGAGTCTTTGATGTGGGTAATGAAATGTGAAAACATAAATAGTTAATGCATCTTATAAAAGGATGATTTCAATCCAGCATTGAATGTGCATTAAAAAAAATAATAGGCAGTGAGGTTATGAGATGAAGCAATGATTAATCTAAACTTAACTGAGATGACTGACTTCAAACAGATGCAAGTTAATTATATTATATGTTACCGGTATCCAAGCCATTTTTTAAACCCATTCTATAGCTGAATTTCTGAAGACGTTAGGATGTTCAAATCCTGAATTATTTAGAATTCAATTTTTTTGCGCCTTGTGTGGACAAAACTCTCCAGCACCATTTGAAAGTTTAGCATTGTCTTTGTTCCTATACAAGTATGATGGAGTTTAGTTTCTCTAGTTTTTTTTTTTGAACCTCGTTGGCAATCGGGAGCCCATCATAAGAAGATCAGTGCAATTCAGCTGATTCAAATCAG